GAGGGATTTTGGGAAGAAGCAGAAGTAGTTTTTGAGAAGCAATTAACTTCTCTCCACAAGTAGAAGCAGTTTTGACTTTTCTACTTACCAAAGATACTCTTAACAAAATATAGTACATACCAAAATAACCTTACTTATCTTACACCTAATACTTACGATATTAATGTATAAGTGTTTCTTCTTATTTTTAGGATAGCTTTCTAATATATAGTGACTTCAGGGGTGACTGCTTTTATATTTGTTGAATGATTTTTTAATATATTCAAATCATTTTAAAAGAATTAAAGTAGTTTTCATTTTTATTTTCATATTTTGCCAAAATAAAATGAAAAGATTTAATTATTGTCTTTAATAATAAATTTTGAGATTATTTATTTACTTATAATATCAACTATTAAGTAAATCTCTTCATGTCCTTATTCATAATTTGATACTTAAAATCACTTTTTGAAAAGCTTGGTCAAACACAAATTATTGTTCAGAAGTGCTTTTCAAATTGATTAGCCAAACACAAACTGCTTCTCTCCAAAAATACTTTTTCGGAACGCACTTTTGCAAAACGCACTTTTCAAATAAGCTGATTTTTCCAGCTTGGCCAAACAGGCCACTAGTCTAAATCCCACATAATTATTATACTTTAAATGGATCTTTTACTTCAATTTATTCTGATACTCCCTCCATTTCAATTTATGTGTCTTACTTTCCTTTAATCGGTTCAAAAAGGATGTCATATTTCTTTATTTAAAAAGTCCTTAATTCTAACATTCCCATTTTACCCTTGATGACACTCTTATAGAACTGACGTGGCATGCTTAAGATCACAAGATTCAAAGTAATCCCTCCGTTCCAATTTATGTGAACCTGTTTGACTTGGCACGGAGTTTAAGAAAAAATGAAGACTTTTGGAATTTGTGGTCCTAAGCAAGTCAGCAAGGGGTCCAGAGTATTTCTGTGGTTATAAAAGTTTCTTATTAAGGGTAAAATTGAAAATATAAGCTAAATTGTTTCCAAATTTAGAAAGGGGTCATTCTTTTTTGAACGGACCAAAAAAGAAATAGGTTCACATAAACTGGAAAGTAGGGAGTATATTTTTGGTATGTTATACATCTTTAGCTTAAGACGACATTCAAAAAGTTTCTTTACATTTTTAAAATTTATGCTCAATCAAACTAAGACACATAGAATTAAATAGAGGGAGTATTAGCTAAAGTTGCATGTAATCCGGGATAGAGACAAATTTATCCATGTGATTTTACGTCTATCTCATCCTATTTAGCACCTTCAATCACCAGACTGTCACACACCTAAGGATCGGCACATTTGAAGATCTACTAGGATGGCCAAATCACCTCTAAGTGACATTCTTTTATTTTATCCTCTATGTGTGCTACTTGCATTCTCTAATAAATGTGATAATTTCTTATCTGGTCTAATTTTGTATAACTGTAATTCCACCTTAATATTTGCATGTCTACAACAATCATTAAACTACTATAATAGAGTACAACTTGTTTCAACTCTCATCTCAATGATTGTGCAAGAAATTGTTCGATTTAGTATAAATTGCCTATACATAATCACTGATTTACACTATCTAATGTTACCTAGTACATAGATCACTCCAATTCGTGGAACGATAATGAGTTTCACAATTAGCTACCCACTTTGAATTTTCAATTTCTTAGCAAGCATTCATTAGTTTATCAGTAACCGTATAATAAAATCTTATGTCTCCATAACTTCCCAAAACTAATCAAGTGGTACTCACATTTTACCACTTCCAACAAGATATAGTATGTCGAGAGTGTTGTGTCATCAGCTATTGGTTAGATGGGCAAAGCAAATCACATCCATTGGAAACTACTTCATAAATGACTTAATGGTAGGTTGGAATTTAAATACGCATACAACCTTGGTTGCTTATTTTTATTCTCCCTTGTCCCCCAAAGGTTTCTTTTTCCAGCTTGTGCGCGACCAATTTACTGCTAACCTTGTTAGCCCCGACCAATACAGGTACCGAATAACTCTACCACCAAGACTTATAGCCTGTTTGGCAAGCTTCTTTTTGGCCAAAAGTGCTTTTTTTGGCCAAAAGTACTTTTGGCCAAAAATTGAGTTGTTTGGCCAAGCTTTTGGAAGGAAAAAAAGTGCTTTTGAGGAGAAGCAGAAGCAGTTTTGGAGAAGCAGAAAAAAGTAGCTTCTCTCCAAAAGCACTTTTTTGAGAAGCACTTTTGAGAAAAATACACTTAGAAGCAGTCTTTTAAAGCTTGGCCAAACACTAATTGCTGCTCAGAAGTGCTTTTCAAACTAATAGCTCGTTTGGCCAAGCTGCAAAAATCAGCTTATTTTGAGAAGTGCTTTTTTTTTAAAAGTGCTTTTCTCAAAAGTACNATTTCTCACATGTTGTTGATGCCTCATATGTGTAACACTGTTGAATTTAGTAATGTGAAATATAGTTAACTGAGACATGAGCAGTTGATGATTGAGCTTGGGCAACAGAGCCAATTTGGTATTGATTTTGAGGTGACTCGTATGTCGAGCCCATATTGGGTAAGTAGTACTGTTAGGGGTGACGCCCCATTTTTCTCTCGCTGGCGTCCGGGTTTCGACATTCATGAGGGAACAACTCGTTTCCTTTTGGGAATTGGGTATTTGAAGAGTTGCCACCTAACGGATTATGGTGCGTTAGGGCACCTAGAGCGATTAACTCATGTAACTAGTTTGCATTACCAGAGATTAGGGTAAGGCTCGAAATAACATTGAGGGGAAGGTGTTAGGCACCCCTCGCGGTCCACAAATGGTGGGTCTTGGCCGAACTTAAACTATGTGAGCTTTAAAAAAACCTGCTTCTAAGTGTATTTTTCTCAAAAGTCTTCTCAAAAAAGTGCTTTTGGAGAGAAGCTACTTTTTTCTGCTTCTCCAAAACTGCTTCTGCTTCTCCTCAAAAGCACTTTTTTTCCTTCCAAAAGCTTGGCCAAACACCTCAATTTTTGGCCAAAAGCGCACTTTTGACCAAAAAAAAGCTTGGCCAAACAGGCTATAATTAGCCAAACACAAACTGCTTCTCACCAAAAGTACTTTTGAGAAAAAGCACTTCTCAAACTGAGCTGATTTTTGCAGCTTGGCCAAACGGGCTATTAGGTAGATAGGAATAGTTCACCGAATTCGCCTCTACAAGGATTTGAACCTTGGTTCCAAGGTCGTCACTCCAACTCTTTGATTGCTAGAACACCCTTGGGGGTTCCTTGCCCCAAAAGTTTATCCTGGTGTGGTAGCCAAAAAAATACCAGAAATCCTTACATTAACTAATCATTTGCCCTATATGACTGCAGAATACTACTATTCACTTTGAAGCACCAAAGACCAGTTTCCAATATATGAACATGACTAAATTACTATTAGGCATTAGCACAGGATTTGTTAAATGTTATATAGCACAGGTAACCACTTAGCTCTTACCCAGCGGGTTTTCGAAAATTCACCCCATCCATGAGTAACATCAGAAATATCTTTCAGAGTTGTGCCGACATACACCAGGGCAAAAGTTATTGGCTGCAAGGAAAAGAAATAGATTCATCAGTATAATATGGAAAAGATTAACTCATAACTAAAGGACCAGTTTCCTAACACATTAACCAGTAATCAAAGCGACATGGCTGAGAAAGGATGTCCTGGTGGAATTTCAAGAGTTATTGAAAAGATCAAGGCATGCAGATGATCCTACTATACCAAAAATGGATTTTTGGTCAAGGTCATTTCACATGGATAGCATCTGCACCGAGTTAAACACAGAAACCAATGGAAAACCCTCTCCCAAGAGGAAGGACTAAGGATTTTATTGTCCCCGCATATAATATAAAGGGGTTGTATAGAGCCATCCCAAATCAAACCTGGCACATATGCATGCAACCTTTATATCATAGCCAAATTTGCTAATATCCCATTTTACATGGGTCGTTACAGGTCATCACCAGAGGCGTATGCATGTTGACGGATATGGGTTCACGTGAACCATACTCCTCTCCCTAAACCATGTATAACAATGTTATATTTCTTCAAAATTACTTAAATATATGTGCGTGAACCCATGCTCATAGACTCTTATGATGCAATTATTATTGGGTGCACCTCTACAAGTGAAATTGGCGGTTCAATTCCCATTCTGAACGGTCTTGTTTATGGGATGGAGCATATATATATATATATATATATATATATGTGTGTGTGTGTGTGTGTGTGTGTGTGTGTGAAAAATTACTAAAATTTCAAAAAGAATATAATTTTGAACCTATAATTTCAAAAGTGTAGTGGGTTCATGATAAAAGACTAAAGTTAAACCCGAGAAATGTAAATTCTAGATCCACCTCTTCACGACAGTGCACCAATCCTCATGAAATCCTGGATCTGCCTCTCTGATCATCACCGTTTAGGTTTATGGTGACTGTTTAACTTGGTTTCTCTAAATCTAGTGCTAAACATTTGCTTTCAAAACACTACCCTCATTGAATTTATTCCGGCAGGGATGGGGTGAGGTTGCCCACTCCATTCCACTAACTTTTTTGACATTGCATTCGAGAAACCACTTTATTCTGAATCAATCTAGGAATGACACCTCTTTACAAGGACATGAAAATAGTTCTTGTAAAAAGACATCAACGACACACCACGACCATATCTATATCACATGGCAAGCCATGAAAGAGACTTTGACCTAGAGGCAACTGGGAAGAGGGGGGGTATAGGTAGGTAGGTAGGTATAGATAGATAGATAGATAGAGAGAGAGAGAGAGAGAGAGAGAGAGAGAGAGAGAGAGAGAGAGTAAAACTTACCATCATTCCCAACCATGAAGCCAACATGTATTCCCAAATGGAAACTGGTGTCACCGATAAAAGGTAGTTCAACATATTAAATGGAAGCAGAGGAACAAGCCGGAGCAGCAAAACAATCTGTCAAATCAGAGTAAATCAATTTACATCCTTACTTCTGCTCTTTCTGGAAATTAATATCCATATTACTGACACACTTCTTAGCCAAAATGACAATCTGAAGATGTCATGACTATTAAAAGGACCTTTTCAAGCATTTAATGAAAGACACACAAACCTTAAAGCCAGATTTCCGAATTGCAATTGCAACTGCACGAAACTGTGGATAATCCTTCAACTTGGAAATGACAAATGACCTCCCAATCTGTTGAAATGTCAGTCAAAATGTCAAAATGTCCTGACAAATCTACGGCCTTGTACCTCAGGTAGTCCAATTTTTGCTATACCACTAAAGTACCAATCAGAGCTCATTGAAATGGACTATGGGTGAAATCATGCTGTTCTAAGCAATACTTCAAGTGAATACATTTCTAACTACACCAACAAAATATCCCTCTCCGGAACAGAAGAACTCACCGTTCTACCAAGAAGAAATGCTGCGGCAGCACCAATGGTAGCACCAATAGAATCAGCAACAAAACCCACAGGCAAGCCAAATAGATAACCACCACCTAGCTGAAAACAGGAGCCATGTGGAGTTCGGATTCAAATCATAACATCTAGATCCATTGAATTATTACTTTGTGACATGAAGTAATTAGCCAAATATCATTGATAATTAAGTCTATGATCCATGAGAAGCAGAGACAGATTGGTCAATATGTGCTATAAAAGAATTTTGAACATCTGACTAAAGAAATTGGGGGTTGGGAGGGGCACATGACTTAAACAACAAACACCATAAATTTTACCGTAAGAACTGATGCTGGAACTGCCAATACCGTTAGAGGAATGTATGCAACAGCCCTGTAAGACAGAGAAAACAACATGACCAAAAGAACAGCAGCATAAATCTCCAGTGTTGATTGCAATATCCTATCTATAGGGTCATTTTGGACAAAAAAATATAATAACTAATGCAATGAGAAGAGCGGTATCCCAAAGGTGTTTGTGTTATGATTAAAGTGTGAATGGAAAAACCCACCAGGAGGATTACTCATGACAACGTGGAGGGGCATTTGGGGATGCACACTAATCTAAAATTTTCAGCACTTATTCTGCTTCAGCTAGGCATGAAGGGCTTAAACAACAGATAGGCAGCAGGGGTCTTTATAGTACTTTAAGGTAGCAACCAAGTTTTTATTTGGTGACTCTTTTTCTCTGAAACAACGAATAGCAGCTCCCATGTTTCAGCAGTTGCGGCGACGTTATTTAGGGGTTTTTGGGAGGCAAAACAAGCTGCTCATAGCCAAGCTTCAAAGGAAATCAAAGCTCAAAGCGTTACACAACCCCTATGCCATGGATTTCTTACATTGAGCAAGAATCTCCAAGAACACCAAAAATCTTCAAGTTAAGGTAACTTCAACAAGGTAAATTCTTAACTTTTTCAATTATAATGATGGAATGAGTATTATTAGTGTGTTCTTGAGCTTGAAACACTATTTAATTTATGGATTAAGCTAACCAAGAGTCTTGAGTTTAAGGAATTGCTGGGTTAGTTGAAGGAGAAGATAATATGATTTGGGCTAAGTAATGAGTTGAGTAATGACTTCAAGGACATAAGTAATTCCACGTGTTGAATTTATAAACTCGAAGTTTGTAATTTATTAAGAGAACAAAGTTGGATGGTTCGTAGCCAATTTGTGAGCCCAGAATGAGTTTTATGAGAATTACTTGGCCAAGTACAGATAGAACTCATACATATGTGTAGATCGAATGGTATTGAACGTTTGGGATGTAGTGGACCATTTGAGAAGTTGCTAATTGTCCGAGAGGCCAAGGTATGGTAAGACTTGACCTTCTAAATGTGATGTTCCAACTTTCATGCTGTCAAAGTATTTGATAAAATTCATAAACAAACATTTTGTCATCAAGTGCTTGTGGGAATGAAAGGGTAGTTGATTCACCATCTTTTACAGAAAGCTTGAATGATAACCATGCGACCTTATGTTAAATGTTGAAATGATATGTTCTAACGCATGTGCCACTTTAAATTGCCTTGAATAATGAATGTCGCATGTGTTAAGAATTAATGTACTTACTTGAAAGCCTTAAAATGTTTTCATGCCCATTATGGTTCATTTGATTTAAAATTATTATGTGATGCCATTTGGCTATTTATTGTGTGCTGTTATGACAAGTGAAGGCTACAAGCCTTGAGGTGACCCAAAAAGAGAGGGTCGGGCTAACGTGAGAATACATTGATGCCCACAAGCCTTAAGGTGACCCAAGGGGAAGGTCAAGCCAATGTAAGAAGGTAAAAGTTTAATGTCCATGAGCCTAGAGGTGGCCCGAAAGGAGGGTCGGGCGAATGTACATGAAAAGATAAAGCCCCCACAGTAATGCATTTACGTTTTACCTGCCCTTATGATGATAAATGTTTATGACAAATGAAATGTGTTAAATGAATATTCTTGAACATTATTTCATGAGTTTACTTCAATGTTTTACGTAATGTTTTCATAAAGGCGTGTCCCAACATTTCGGCTTGTCGATGATACATACTGGCATTATATTCAGGTCACTCAAAGCTACCCATTTACCTTTCTTGTTTCAGATATTGGTACGGTCGAGGAGGGTACTACATTCTAGAGTTTAGCATCCTCCTTCCACAAATTTTGATGAGCCACACCCCTACTCCGGTGTTGGCTAGGTTGTGCTTATCATTCTCTGTCACGAGGTATTTCCCCTGGAGCCATAAGTATTCTTTTGTTACTCTAGCGGCTCATGACTAGAGTGGTCATATGTATTCTTTTGTTACTCTGGCGGCTCACAACTAGACTAGACATATGTATTCTTTTGTGACCTAGCGGCTCACTACTAGACTAGTCATATCTATTCGTTTTTTACTCTAGCGCCTCACGACTAGACTAGACTTGTGGGATCTATTCTTTTGGTATGTATATATGTTGACATTCCCAAGATGTAGAACTTTATGATTTATGTGGATAGCATGGCCTTATGTGGAACTATGTGTTTACCGTTTTCGATTTATAATTGTTAAAGCATCTAGGTGATGGTACGGGGTGCCCAAATCCCTATATGTATATACTTTTCATGAATTATGTTATAGTGTTGATTCTTCTCAGCGGATATGAGTAGCCCAGTGGCGGTCACGGTTTCTCTTTGAATTTGGGGCGTGAGATAAAGTAAGAAAATTTATTTCATCAAGATGAGGAAAAACCCTTGTATAATTTTCTTTTTAGTTAAATCTAGGAAAGCCCTTGTATAAACAACAAGATCATGTTCTATACAAAAGCAATGCTTAGAAAAATATTCAGCAATCACCAATAAATGTAGGAACACCCTGCAAATAATGGATATGATGAAAAGATCTTGAAATGGATTAATGAGTTCCCTATCAGATGCAAGATAATCACAGTACTTGTCCTTCTAATTAGAACAAGAATTAGCATGCATCCAAATTTTACAAGGTTTTCCAAGGGGCAACTTCCTTGAATCATCTAGGAATGAATATCTTTTTACCTTTTCCCTTGGTTTTTCCTTTTTGGAGAAAAACACAAACATATCAGCAGGGTTGCACAAAAAAGTAACTTCCAGATGGTACCCAACAATAATAACGTCTAACATAATGCTTTTAATCCATGCATTTCACAATGTGTACAGAGAACAGTGTGAGGAGCCTAAGCAACATAAACAATATCAGCCCTTTAACTCAACGCCAAACGGATTACAATAGGACAGCAATAAATCAGGATGAGCATTGAAAGAACAAAACTGAACTTCTATAACGTCTAAATAAAGGACAAGCTTCACGTTAATAAGGGGACAAATTAAGGGAGGGCCCTATAAGATTTGCTCTCTTCCCCCCACCCCCACCACCACAAAAAAGGAACAAAAACATAGCCCAACTATGCGACGGTTGGATCCTGGATATACCAGACTCTACATGTTCCATGTTCTTAGAGCACTCACATACAGCTGACCATAATGTCTACAGGGCAATAGTACTAATCACTATTTTTTTATAACGGAGAAATCCCCGAGGGCCAGCGACGCATGGTTCGAAACTACCCTTCTCCACTTAAATACCAGGCTTTTGTCTGCGGCAGGGTTCAAACCGTGACTTGCGCCTAAACCTTACATCAAAAGCTACACTCTTATCACTAGACCAAAGCCTTGGGGGCTACTTTCTCGATTTATAACTAAACTATATTTATGCCCCCGCATGGCCATTCTATGAAGTGCGCCAATTTTGACTGCTGTGGAATACCCTTACAAATTAACAAGAATACCTCAATTTTGCATGCATATCTGTTCCCACCTTGTCAAATAACTCAAATCACTCAAATTAATCAAATGTAGGGAATGATTTAACATCATCACATTAAATATTTATATATAAAAAGCAACTTACAGAACAAGAGGACCCCAAGGACCAAGATCTTGCTCAATCCATATCAAGAAATTTTTCAGCATCTGCACAAAAAAAGCAAAATAAAAAAATGCATCTTCACAGCACTATGGAGAGATAAATAACTTGAGTCGACGAGGCCCCATAGACGTGTTTCTAAGCTATCCTTATCATACACCAGAAGTATCCAGCTTATCGATAGAATTTCACAGAAACGACAACCAAAAAGTGAGCTCCACTTGATTATTCATCCATCTAAAACATAGGATCCAAGAATCAAGTCTAGTCCTATCACAAAAGTATTCAGCAGTCACATCATGTGGATCACACGTTATGAACGCATATGATAGGATAACACAGTCAACCCCAACACATTATGCCATGTATGATCAGGTAATACAATCAATTCAACTTGGAATACATTGGTAAGTCGACATGAATTGCACAAAGCAATGACTCTAATGGAAGTCCAACTACACCTTTGTCCTTCAGACTGTGGAATAAGCTCGTGTTTTCCTCACAGCTAGAGTAAAACATATCTATGAAAGAAGCTAATAGCATTTGCCTAAACCAAACACCATCCCAAGTCAAAGATAATAAACCCAAAGGTGAGAGAAGATAAAAACTTGCCAACACAACCTCTCTACTTGAAACGATCCATGCAACCAAGTAAATCACACTCAGACAAGGATAATCATCTTTAACAAACAGCAAAAAGACTACACCTCAAACCCAAATTAGTTTGGGTTGGCCATATGAATGTTCTATATCCATTCCACTCAATTTGGGCTTGTTTCATTTCAAATATTTAATAATTCAGAAATTAAGTTATTCTCTAAATCTCACACTAATACCCTACACTGACATACAAATCTCTGGCAAAACTAAAAGACTCTTAGCAAATCAATGACGAATTTGCAAAATGTAAAAAAGCAAATTGTGAAAAAATGAATCAATCCTCCTCCATAAATAGTCTATACACAAATGTCAATTGCAGATAACAAAAGGCAGTAATCAAGAAAAACCCAGATCAAGAAATCGTCTCTCAACCAAAAGGGGTGAATAATTTTAAAAAATAATAATAAAAGGAAAACCCAGATGAGTCAAAAATGAAGAATTACCAAGAAATGAATTTGTTACCAAAAACCCAGATCAAATTAATCATTTTATCAACCAAAAGGGGTTTAAAATAAAAGAAAAACCAGAAAACCCAAATGATAAAAACGGAACCTTTTCAACAGGGAGAGTGAAACAAGCGGTGGCAATGGCAGCAATAAGGAGGAGAAGGAAGGTGAATTTGAGAAAGGAAGACCAATGAAAAGCCATTGATAATCTCTTGCGCCAACGCGGCCTACACTCCTCTTCGTCTTGTTCCTCTGGAGAAGTTGCTTGCTTCAAACACAAGCGCGGCCTCAAATTCAATCCTCCTAAATTAGCCAGATTGAATGAATAGATATAGATTTTATAATCAAACACACCTAAATTATTAAACCCAAAGATAATGCCTCATTTCACATTAGCAAACGAGAATAGTAATTTTGATGTTGTTGTGTCAGGTCTCGTGGATCTATATTTTTTAAGCTAAGAGAAGCTTCTTCGCGTTTGACAGGTTCTGTTTTAGCTTCTCTGCTTTCCTTTCTTGCTATTTTTGGCGTAACGTAGTAAAACTACTCCAAACTCTTGTGTACTTTGCTATATTTACACTTTTCTCTAGCAAATATTAAGAAAGAAAAAAAAAAGCAATTTGATTGATATTGGCAGGTGTTACTAATTGAGAAATTACATATTATTTAATTATAATTTGTCAAAAAAATTAAATTTGTATATTTTAAGTTATAATATGTTGATTTAAATAATATTTTATGTAATTTATGAATATGAGGTCACGGGTTCGAGCCGTGAAGCAGCCACTAATCTCTGTACTAGGTTAGGCTTTCTACACCATACTCTTTTGGGTGCGGCCTTTCTCCGGAGCCTGCGTGAACGCGTAGTACCTTGTACACCGGGCTGCCCTTTATGTAATTTATGAATATGTAAATTTTATTTTTAGAAACTTGAAGAATTGATACCTAATTTACATAACTTTTTAACTCTCGTACTTCAAATATTATTCCTTGGAATAAAATTATGCAACTGTATATGGTCAAAATCGGGCCTACCCGATTTTACTGTTTGATCGAGACAAGGGAGTTGCATCGGGGGTAGCCTCGTAATGAATCAGACCCGAGCTCGAAGACGAGGCATCGAGTCTAAAGATCGAAGTGTCCGTTGAGATCGAGGCCAGCAGCAATCGAGATTAAGTATGATCGACTTCGAGTGAAGTGAAATAAGGAAAGGCGAGATATCCGTAATCGGTCGAAGATCACGGCGAAAATCTCGGAACAGATCAAATCATGGGTGGTTATTTGTATCAATCATGGAATTTACTTCCGTAATTAGAATTGTACTATAATTAGGATTCCTCTAGTATATAAAGGGAGGTCCCCATTATCTGTAAACACCTTACATACATACAGATTAAAGCAATATAATATTTCTCTACTGTTCACCAACTTATTGTTCTTTAATTGTTCTTACTTTACTACTCTCGAGGGTTCATCAGCTCGAGGGCACTGTCCAAGCATCGGTTCATTTTATATTCTTGTCAATTCCCATCACTTATCTCTAAATTAATCAATGGGTATTAAGTGAAATCATGTATCCTTAAAACCACATTACAAGCTTAATTGTTACTCGGTTTTTGGGGTAAACAGTTTGGCGCCCACCGTGGTACTAGGGATAATGGTGATTGCTTAATATTAACCTTCATAACACGCACTGCTTTTACACTTGTTCTCGTAAGTGTTTTGATTTCAGGAATCAACATGTCAAACTCTCAAGTAGTACCCACTCACACTGACACCGGCCTTGGTCTTCATGGCGAAAACGAACACGTAGCCGCCCCGGGAGACGGAGTGCCTCCAATCAATCTCGACTCATCACAAGTCACGAATCCGGTTGATGTCAATTCTCATGTCGCCATTCGTGGAGATTTAGGCGCCGACCCTAAAAATAGCATCCGCAGAGACGCCCAGGCAGCCGATCAGAATGCACAAAATGGTGAAAAAGATGGAATTAGCCTTCGAATGATATTTGACATGCTACAAACTCAACAGATCGCGATAGCGCAACTCCAAAATCAGAATCGAGTCCCAAGCAGAATCGAACTCGATACATCACAGGAAGTTGCTCATAGGGTCGAACCCGTGCAGGAAAAATTGAATGATAATGGATCGGGAACTGATCCCGCCATCACGAAAATGCTCGAGTATCTCACTAAACAAATAGAATCAGGTGAAAAGAAAATCGAGGCTAATGACAAAATGGTAGAAACGTATAACTCACGAGTTGACCAAATACCGGGGGCACCCCCGATCCTAAAGGGTTTGGATTCGAAGAAGTTCGTGCAGAAGCCTTTTCCTCAAAGTGCGGTTCTGAAGACCATTCCTAAGAAGTTCCGTATGCTAGACATCCCCAAGTACAACGGGACCACCGATCCTAATAAACCCATCACTTCGTACACATGCAGAATAAAGGAAAATGACTTAGAAGATGATGAGATTGAATCGATTTTGTTGAAATTTTTTTTGAGAAACTTTATCGAAGGGGGCAATGATATGGTACCACAATTTGCCGCCCAATTCCATCGATTCTTTCGCCATGCTCGCCGATTCATTTGTAAAGGCACACGCCGGAGCGATAAAGGTCGCGACCAGAAAGTCGGACCTCTTCAAAGTGAGACAAAAGGACAATGAAATGCTAAGGCAATTCGTATCTCGATTTTAGATGGAACGCAGGGACCTACCCTCGGTTACCGATGATTGGGTTGTCCAAGCCTTTACTCAGGATTTGAACGAGTGAAGTTCGATACCATCATGTCAATTAAAGGAGAGTTTGATTGAATATCCAGCAGTGACCTGGGTCGATGTGCATAATCAATACCAATCAAAGATCAGAGTCGAGGATGATCAGTTGGGAGCTCCATCCGGTTGCGTTTATCCAAACAGGTCCGAAGGCAGGATTCAAAGAGACATCGACAGAGAGCCCCGATCGAACAGAGATCGATGCCAACCATATAGCGCAGATCGAAGAAACAACGGATCTGGACGTAATCCCATTCCAAATGATCGAAGGAGTGATCAAGGTCAAAATTCTTGAGGGCTCATGAATAAGAATGGCTTCGATAAACATGTCGAGCCTAAGGAAGCACCACGGTTATCGGAATATAACTTCAGCATCGATGCTTCAGGTATTGTGTCAGCCATTGGACGAATCAAGGATACTAGGTGGCCCAGACCCCTGCAAACCGATCCAGCTCAAAGGAATCCGAATCAAATATGAAAGTAGCATGGAACCCGCTCACAAAACCGAGGACTGTAGACAATTAAGGGAGGAGGTAGCTCGTTTATTCAACGAAGGTCATCTTCGAGAGTTCTTGAGTGACCGAGCAAAAAATCACTTTAGAGACAGGGATGCAAACCGGAAAAACGAATAGGAGGAACCGCAGCACGTGATTCATATGATCCTCGGTGGGGTCGATATCCCTCAGGGTCCGACATTTAAACGCACCAAAGTCACAATCACAAGGGAGAAGCGTACCCGGGACTACTTACCAGAAGATACCTTGTCCTTCAATGATGAGGATACAGACGGGATCGAACAGCCTCGCAACGACGCACTGGTAATATCTATCCTTATGAATAAAATTCAAGTTAAACGTGTGTTGATTGATCCAGGTAGCTCAACGAATATTATTCGATCGAGGGTCGTGGAGCAACTCGTCTTCAGGATCAGATCGTGCCTGCAGCTTGAGTGCTCAACGATTTCAACATGACGAGTGAAACCACCAAAGGGGAAATCATGTTGCAAGTAAACATGGCCAGAACTATCCAAGAAACGAAGTTCCACGTGATAGAAGGAGATATGAGGTATAATGCACTGCTCGGAAGATCTTGGATCCATAATATGAGGGCAGTACCTTCAACGCTTCATCAAGTCTTGAAATTCCCAACACCGAAAGGAGCCAAAACGGTGCACGGCGTGCTAAAGAGATGTTTGAAATCAATGAGGTGATACCAGTATCGACTCTAACATCAACAAAGGGACCGGAATCAAAGGAAAAACAGAAGGTCAAATAGCAACCACAATCGCCAGCTTTGACCAGATCGGAACAACTGGAAATTATCGAGGACGATGATTGCATGATACCTCGAACCTTCGTAATCCACGATGATTTCGATGCCACTAAGTCAACTGTCGAAGACCTGGAACAAGTCATACTAATCGAGCACCTGCCTGATCGAAAGGTATACTTGGGCACGGGGTTAACTCCCGAGCTTAGGGAAAAACTCGTTAAATTCCTTATTAAAAATATGGATTCTTTTGCTTGGTCCCACCTTGACATGACAGGGATCCCACCGGAGATCACCACTCATTGATTGAGTTTGGACCAGAAGTTCAGACCGGTAAAGCAAAAGAGAAGGCCACAGTCCGAGGTAAATCATGCATTCATCAAGGATGAGGTAACCAAACTTCTCAAAATAGGATCCATCCGGGAAGTAAAATATCCCGAATGGTTATCAAACATAGTTGTAGTCCCCAAGAAGGGGAATAAACTTAGAATGTGTGTAGATTATAAAGACTTAAACAAAGCATGCCCTAAGGACTCTTTTCCACTGCCAAATATCGATCGCATGATCGATGCCACGGCCGGCTACGAGATCCTCAGCTTTCTCGATGCCTACTCTGGGTACAACCAAATACAAATGAACCCGGAGGATCAGGAACAAACTTCATTTGTCACTAAGTACGGTACTTATTTCTATAATATAATGCCGTTTGGGCTAAAAAATGCTGGTGCTACCTATCAACGCCTAGTAAACCGAATGTTCGAAGAACACATAGGTAAATCAATAGAGGTTTATATTGATGACATGTTAGTTAAGTCCCTGTGCGCAAAGGACCATTTGACACATTTTTAGGAAACCTTCGACATCTTAAGAAAATACAACATGAAGCTCAACCCCGAGAAATGCACATTCGGGGTCGGTTCAGGCAAGTTCCTCGGCTTTATGGTATCAAATCAGGGACTCGAGATCAACCCCAATAAAATCAAGGCAATCGAAGACATCACAGTCGTGGGACAGCATTAAGTCCGTACAAAAGCTAACAGGACAGATCGCTGCTTTAGGCCGGTTTATCTCGAGGTCTTCTGATCGAAGCCACAGGTTCTTCTCACTTCTCAAAATGAAGAACAATTTTACTTGGACCCCGGAATGCCAACGAGCATTAGAAGAATTAAAGCGGTACCTTTTGAGCACACCATTGCTTCATACTCCGAAAGCGCACGAGCAACTCTACTTATATTTGGCAGTCTCGGAGGTTGCGGTAAGTGGTGTCTTAGTTCGAGAAGAACAAGGTATGCAATTTCTTGTTTACTATGTTAGCCAAACTTTAGGTGAAGCAGAGACCCGGTACCCACAGTTAGAAAAATTAGCGCTTGCTCTAAAAAGGACCTCTAGGAAATTAAAACCATATTTTAATGTCACTCAATTTGTGTTGTAACCACTTATCCCCTTCGCAACATTTTGCATAAGCCCGAGCTCTCGGGCCGATTGGCCAAATGGGC